TTCAGTGTGGGCTGATCTGGGAAGAGATAGGGCATCCCAGAATTCACGTAGGGTCAGCTGGGGGCCTCGGGCCTCCCTCTTTAGAAGGGAGGGACTCTAGTTAAGAACCGGGATTTGGGAAGGTGACCAGTCCCGTGATGGGCAGACTGGAGGAGTTAAGTCTAGAGCCAGTGGAGTCCGGGGTGAAGGTGGTGCCATTTCACAGGCGAGAGAAGATGGCGATGTTGCCTAAGGTGAGGTAATGGGGAGGGGAAGAAGGGGGCAGATAAAAGAGTTAATTAAAAGAGGGAAACAGCCCTGGCTGGTGTGGCTCACTGGCTTGAGCATCGGCCTGAAAAGGGTGCTGATTTGATTCCAATCAGAGCACGTGCCTGGGTTGTGGGCCAGGTCCCCAGCTGGAGGCTTGCGAGAGGCAACCAATTGATGTTTCTCTCTCTTTCTCTTTCTCTTTCCCTCCCCCTTTCTTTGAAAATAAATTTTAAAAATCTTAAAAATAAAAAGAGAGAACGCACTGGATTTGGTGACTGATTGGATGTTGGAGGTGAGCAAGGAAAAGGAGGGCAACCAGGAGGGTTTCCATGTCTTTTGAATTTTAAAGAAAAGAAGGAACTGAAGGAGAGCGAGGGCCGCTGATGCTGAGTTAGGAACCAGGTGTCTGCCCTGCGGCTGCGGGAGGCTGAGGCCTGAGTGGGCTCTGGGGGCCAGGACAGAAAGCTCCTTCCTCGGAGAGAGTTGGCCAAGGTTTCCTGCCTTTTTTCAGAGAAGTGGAGGTGTCGGTCACACTGTGACCAGCCTTCAGCACCCTGCCGAGAGATGCCAACCCCTTCCAAAGCCAAAAGAAAAGAAACTGAGGCTTGTGGCAGAGGCCTGCTATTTTAACAGACTTGAGGTTACTTGCATAGTACGTAGAAGATTCTAATCACTTCCCAATCTCTTAACTTTAAAAAGAAAATGCTTTAGACAGAGGTTTGCATGTTGAGTAAGGCTCACCTTGTGGGTTAACAGGCCACTTCGACAACCTGTATTCCACGAATGAAGAACTGTTATGATGGAGAGGCCCCTCTTTCATGTTGCATTATTATTAGTATTATTACCTGCATACTTTGTGTAAGCCCCGTGGAAACCAACACTCATGTGGTTCACTCCCAAAGTGGAACTGCATTAAAAAATTCACAGTTCAAGTGGGAATCCCCACCGCCCCTCACCGTCCTCCAAGGACACACAGGAGCTTGCACACGGTCCTCGGCAACTTGAGCTCATGTCCTCATGCCATCAGCGAGTCTCTAACGTCCTCCACTTCCTGCGAGCCTCTCACTACCTCCCCAGTACCTTCCCTCTCCCTCATCCATGCTTCCCTGTCCCCCCCCCCCCCTGCCCATTTCCTTTATATGCAGCTTTTTCATGGCTGGCTTGATTATGAAAGATCAGAAACTCTTCCCTTCCTTGCTGCTGGCTGAGAGCCAGGTAACTTACAAAATGGTTGCTGCGTGATCTTAAGGCAAACTTGAAGCACCTTGCGGGCGATAGGCTGTTTGGAAGATCTGAAGCATTTCACTGTCCGGTCGCCGGTGCTCCAAGTGCAAGCAGCTGTGGCTCAGACTGGGTGCGGCGGGTTGTGGATGGTTACGGTGACGGATGGAGGGGATAGAATGGGGACAGTGTTGGTGATGATATTATAGTGGTGAAGGGAGAATATCTCAGCTAGAGAAGCTCCCAAGAAAGTTTGCTCCTTTGAACTATCACTGAGAGATGATGTCTGTTACTATGATGCCCATGGTCTCAATAAAATGTCTGTGCGGCCCTGGCTGGGTGGTTCAGTTGGTTGGAGCCTTATTTCATACATCAAAAGGTTGCGAGTTCAATCCCTGGTAAGGGTATATACCTAGATTCTGGGTTCAATACTCAGTACGGGCTCGTACAGGAGGCAACTGACTGATATTTCTCATATCGATGTTTTACTCTCTCTCTCTCTCTCTCTCTCAAATCAATTAAAAAACCCATTTTAAAAATGCCTGCAGGTCTGTGAGCTAATCTCTTGCCTGTCTTTTGTGCTACCTATTAGTCACGGCAACAAGCCTGGGGCAGCAGCTTCAGGGGTGTGGAGCGACATACGTGTGTTCATGTGGGGGTTCCTGGTTGCAGATTCTCCCCGTCCCAGCTTTGAGAGGCTGGGATTGCACCGTGGGCGTCCTCTTACCCCACAGCCTTCCGCTCCTTGCTCACGCTGCTTCTGCTTCTACACACAAGGCACAAAACGTCGGTAGTACGAAACTGAGTTTCCGAGGAACTCCAAGAAGTCTCAGCTCTATGGCCCTGGAGAAAAACTTCACTCTCCCCTCTGGGCTTCTGTTTCCCCGTGTGGAACAGAAGGCAGCCAGACAGGAATCTCTTTCCAAACATAGCAATGAGCCTGAGTAGGTTCCTTCTCAGAGTAAGTTTTTCCACTCTCTAGACAAAGGACACAAGCCCCATAAACTCTAGGCTTCTAGGTGATCAGGGTTTTGATCGCAACGTAAGCAATTCCAGTAAACATTTCCAATGGTGACTGGGCAGGGGACCAGGTAGGATGTGCTCAGCTGCAAACAAAAGACAACCTGGCTCACAGCGGCAAACCGCAATGGTGACTTTGCAAGGGGCCCCAGGCTTATTTCATGGCTCAGTGGAACCCTTTTATGCGTTCTCCATCCTCAGTCTGTTGAGTATCTTTCACAGCTCCCAGCTTCACGATCTCGACATGGCTGCCTCAACTCTAGATAGCCTGCCGTCCTGTCATGTGATTAGATTATGTGATGAACCTGTGGAAGTGTTACGTTACACAGCAAAAGGGGCTTTACAGATGTAAAGTTAGAGTTCAAGATAGGGAGAGCCTTGGCCAGGGTGGCTCAGTTGGTGGGGCGTCTTCCTGCAAAGCCAAACTGGTTGGATTCCCGGTCGGGGCACATGCTTGGGTTGTGGGCCTGGTCCTTGATTGGGGTGCATGCGAGAGGCAACTGATGGATGCTTCTCTCATGCACTGATGTTTCTCTCCCTCTCTTTCTCCCTCCTTTCTCCTGTCTCTGAAATTGAAAAAGGAAAGAAAAGATAGGGAGAGTAGCCCTCATTTTGGGGGTGGGCCTAGTCACATGACACAAGCCATTCAAGACAAGCCTCCAGCCCGAGGCAGTAGAAAACTTCAGCAGAAAGGAGAGCTGGAGAGATTCTGAGTGTGAGCGGCGCTGTGCGTTGCTGTCTCTGACATGCAGGGCTCACGTGCAAGGCGGCGGAGAGGCCTCGGGAGCTCAGGGCAGCTCACGGCTGACAACCAGCAAGGGCACAGAGACCGCAGTCTCACAGCTCCAGGGAACTGGATTCTGCCAACAACTGGAATGAGCGTGGGAGTAGATCTTTCCCAGAGCCTCTCCCGAGGAGCCCAGCTGCCACACCTCGATTTCAGCGGAGAAACCAGCCGAGCCGGCCTGCACTTCTGCCCTGCAGGACGGTGACATGATGAACTTGTGTCGTTTTAAGTGGCCAGGCGTGTGGCAATTGATTGTAAATCAATTTTATGAAGAGCTCATACAGTTACTTAAATACAGGAAGCAGGGATGTCTCCTTGGGACTCTGCCTCCATTTTTTCCAGGAGTGGATCAATTTTCAGGAGCCTCCAGACGTGTCTGTCTCACTCTCTCCCTTTAAGGTGGTGCTCAAAAGGCTATTCTACCCATGCCCCCAATTCAGGCCTGAATCGCATGTGCCCCCCCCCCCCGGCCCTCTGGAAATACTCCACGAGCCGAAATGTTGCTTATGACCTTGACCCCCGCTTTCTAACATCATAGACAATTCGTTATTTATTTTGTTTCTCACTTATTGTCTGCCCCTCCACCTCTCCCCTCCCTACCGGTAGGTGAGGGCACAAGTGTGAAGCTCCTGGGTTTATTTTCATCTGTTAGAAACAAAGTAGACATTGTGCTACAGGGAGGGGTCCAAAAAGTCCCTCTCTCTTGCTGGGGCAAGAAAAAAAGGAACCTGCCATGGGTGGAGAGGGGATAGGGAGGGAGAACCCTATGCCTGCAGGAAGGGGGCAGTTTTGGGAAGTCCACGCCAGTGGGGGCCTATCCTCTTGGGTGAGGCGGAGGGTAGGACAGGACGGGGTAGGACCAAGCAGAGGCCCATCTGGAGGGAAGCCTGGCTGAGGAACCGTGGGTGGTCTGAAGACTCAGATATTCTGGGAAGAACGGGGTGGAGAATGGAGGCTTTGAATGCAGGCTCGTCCCCAGGCGCCACGGAGTTTGGGAGCGTGGTGGGTGCTATGGCCCAGGCAGTGATTGATCTGGGAGCACTGAGGAGACAGGGCTGGAGGTAGCCAGAAGCCACGTGAGGACTGTGGGAGGCGACACACAGGGAGGTGACCGGCCAAGCAGCCCGGAACCCCTGGCCCAGATGCCCTGCGACTTTAGGCAAGTCTTCTCCTCACTTCCGTGAGCTTTGGTGCTCTAACTAGAAAGTCTGGAGAGTGAGGAGCTAGGAACATTTCTCGGCAAGCGGGGTGGGGAAGCTGTGACAGATGGCTGGACAAACGGGGCCGAGCCATGATGCAGCCAGGTGCAGAAGGCCACCGGGGAAGGCAGACCTGGGTGCCTGGCAATAAGCAAAACGAGCGCTAGACCTTGCCTTCAGGGCAACCTTTACTCCCAGGCACGGTGGTGGCCATGTGGTTTAAGCCCCAGGCCTTTCCTCCCCAGAGATAAGGCCTAGGCCTCAAGTGTGTTTCAGCTCCAGGTCCAGAGAAGCAGCAAAGCCAGGCTGGGTCAGGCACCCCCCAGCTGAGCTCATTGAGCTGGAGGGTGGAGGTGGCACCAGAGTCCCTCCCCTGCCACCAACACCCCTCTCTGTCGTCAGAGCTGCTGTCATCTAAGCCCCTGTGAGTTTGCCGCAGGCCAGAGGGGAAGAGAAGGGAGCTGGGGTAAGGACGCTGCTCCCGTGCGTGAGTCAGGGCACACTGAAGTCAGGGGCTGGGAGCCATGAGGCCCCCCGGCTCATGCTGTGCCCCCTGGGCGGAAGTCCTGCTCTCAGGTGAGTGTCCTGCTCCATACAAATGGGGGTGGGGCTGCGTGCGTGCATGCGTGTGTGTGTGTGTGTGTGTGTGTGTGTGTGTGTGTGTGTAGGTGCAAGAAAGAGAGACAGAGGCACAGAGAAATAGAGACAAAGACAAAAGAGATTGACAAAGGGAGACGGAGACCAGGGACAATGACATACATACAGAGAGAGAGATGGAGTTGGAACCACAGAACTAGAGAGAGAGAGAGAGAGAAAGAGAGAGAGGTAGGGAAGGAAGGAGGGAAAGCTGGGACATAGCAGACAGACAGGAGTGAGAGAGGCGGAGGGAGGATGCGCCAGCTCTGAGTGGGTCATGAGTTCACGCATCAGTGTTAGTTAACTGAGGAAGACCATTCTGGAAACAGATTCTTCCATGGTGTTGTGGGAAAGGAATTTCAGGCCATGCAGAGAGGGATTTGAAGCACCAGTGTCAAGATTTATTAGAAGGCCCTTGAAGAGGCTGCCGCATGCGAGGCAGTCCCCACTCCCCCCGCCCGCCCCCCGCCCTCCGGCCGCACTCGGAGGGTAGGTCGCATTCACTGCCCGCAGGCAGGCGCGCCTTGCCCGGTGTCTCCTTGACAGCCAGCCGCTTCAGCTCCGTCCCACTGTGGGGGAAGTCCGGCTTCTGGGGCCGCAGGCCCACACCTGCGCCCCACAGGACCAGGAGGGCAGGGCCCACCCGGACTGTGTCATTCCCCCGGCACAGCCTCTGCCACCCCTGCCTACACTCTGGCCGACGTGTCTGCCGAGAAGAGAGACGGGGGCCTTGTTAAGCTTCTCTGTATTTTCTTGGGCTTGGAAGCGAGCAGGATTTCTCTCAAACGATCCAATCTTTTCCCACCTATTCCAAGGCCTGCGTCCTTATCTTATCAGACCTTTTCCCCAGATTTTCCCAGGTTTATTTCCTCCCCTGTATGGCTTCAATCTTGGCTTCCATCGCCTGCACCCGGTGAAAGGATTGTCCTCCGCACCGTTTCGCCCGCTTCCCCGTTAGTGGGGCGGCCTCCCTGGAGTGACTGTGAAGCGTCTTTCTTGACTACTCTGACGCGGAAAGTGACTAAAACCGCCCTTTCCTCATTAATCTGGCTGTTCCAGTTTTGCTCCCTTTCGTTTTGTTAGTATCTAACTTTTACTGTAACATCAGGACAGGGGATGGATGTGAAACTTATGCTTCAAGGGTACCTGAGGCAAAAGGGAGAAACTGCAATATTTTGATAAGAAAAGCGTTTTGCAGGCAAAGAAATGATTTTGTGATGTGGGGTGTGCGGGCGTGGGGGTCAGCCTGGCTGCAGGGGCGCGGGGTCCTCCTGGTGGCCAGAGAGAGAGGGGCTGTGCGTCTCTACAAGGTTTGCGTCCTCCTGGCTCTCAGAAGGCAGCACTTGGGAGGAGGCCGGAGGGAAGGGGCCCGGCGAAGACTCTCCACAGAGGGAGATTTACCTCAGACGGGTATGATGGGGCCCCCACTGATGATTTCACTCATATTTTTCATTTATCTTTACAGCAGTTAAACAAGGCGGGAACTATTATTATCCCATTTTACAAATGGGAAACTGAGACTCAGACAGAGAACATCACTTGCTCCCCTGCCCCCAACAAATGGCAGAGCTAGGATTCGAACCCAGGCAGTCAGACTCAGCCTGTGGACTTAACCCCTAAAGGCGCTGGAGGCAGAAAATCCAGACATAGGAGATAATAGTACAAGAGCGACTGAACACTTACTATGAACTGTTTTACGTGTGTCGCCCAGATATCTCCTCGGACTTCACAACAACCTGAGGAACTAAGTGCTACTATTCTCCGCATTTTGCAGTTGGAGAAACTGAGGCTCACAAAGAGAAAGGCCCTTGCCCCTTGCTCATGATAATAGAGCCAGTGGGCATCAGAGTCAATATTTGCTCCCAAATTTCTTAAGAACCCGTGCCCCTAACCACTGCCTGAGCAGGGAACGGGACCGTGCTTGGGCAAATCGGGGTCACTGAGGGGCGCAGAGAAGCACGGCCGTCAGCCTCTGTTAACTGGGCGGCTGGGAAGGGAGAGGCGTGTCAAGGTCAGCTGCACAGGACCCCGGCTGCTGAGCGGAGGGCTCCCCGCCCATGCCCACTGCCTCTCCGAGCCTCCATAAAACCGTGCAGAATGGCCAGAGGGAAAACTGGAAACTCTTGCTCCCTTGCCCCCTTCTCCCCCACCGCCATGCGGGGGAAGCCCCGCCTGGGGGCGAGTCTGAGGAAGTAGCAGGTGAATTCCTCCCCGCAGAGAGAACAGAACAGGTGCCCTGTGTGAGGGTGGGATCTGGGCCCATCCCTGGGCTAACAGGAGGAATGGTGTGGTGCTGAGGGCACAGCCTTTGGGAGCTGGCAGGCCAGGTCCAAGTTTGGCTTCTGCCCCCTCCTACACGGCCTTAGAAAAGGACTTCAACTCTCCTCTCTGAGCATCTCTTTCCCTCTGTGTGCAATGGGGCGGCGGATCGCAGACCTCCCCCAGAGGGAGCCAGTGTTGATTACCACCCCACAACAACCCTAGGATGTGGGTAGGATTATGCCCACGTCACAGCTGGGAAAGTTGAGGCTCAGAGAAAATAGAAACATGGCACAAGTCACACGGCCAGTGAGTACCAAGTAGGAGCCAAGCCTCTAGGGATGGAGAGGCATGTCCGTGACCCTCCACTTCCAAAGAACATATCGCCCCCTCCACCCTGCGCAACATACCTCTCCCTCCATGAGCGCCTCCTCTCTCCCCCACCAGCCTCACTTCTGACTGCGTGGAGCCTGCCAGCTGCAACCGAGCTCACTCTTGATGCCCGCCTGCTCAACATCTGCCGAAGTGAGAAGGATTTTTTTCTGTGTTTGGACCCCTTAGGCACTCCAGACTCCTGGCAGATTCAGAGATGTGGTACAGAAAAGAAGGCTGTAATTCTCAAGCACCCTTCCAAGTTCCATATCCAAAGTCCCAACAGGACGAATCTGATGGGCTCAGCCAGGATCTAGCAACAACTGGTTGGATCAGTTGTACTGAGGCAGGGGTCACAAGGTAGACTGTGCAGTGATGCCACGGGTGGGCAAGATGGGCTGGCCTCCCTGTTACAGGCTAGATTCCTTTTGGAGCTGATATTAATCAACCCATTGTCATGTCCCAGACCTGCTTTATTTTTACAACAGCGTTTGTCGTGAGACAAATGTACAGAGAGGGGAAGTAAGTAGCCCAAGATCACGCCTAGAATGAGTAGTAGTAGCTCAAGATTTGTGCCCAGGCATTGAGCTTATGTGTCTTCTGACGATTCCATCCTATCCTTGTCTCTCTGGGTTCCTCTGTGACTATGTCTTGCTTGGCCTTTCTCTGTCTGTGTCTCTGCCTCTCCCTCCCTCTCTCGTTCCCTGTGCAGAACCGCCGGCCAAGCCCACCGTTTCAGTCAGCCAGGGCGCTGTGATGGAGGGGAAGGAAAAGGTGACCTTCCAATGTGACACCAAGGACATCAACGTTAATATCTCCTGGGTATCCAACGATCACCCCCTGGTGTTCCATGAGCGCGTGCAGCTGTTCCCAGGCGGCAGGGAGCTCGCCATCTTCCCGGTCTTGCGGGGGGACGCGGGGAGCTACCAGTGCGAAGCCTGGTGTGAAAACTGGGCCCAGAGCAGTGATCTCACCTACCTGGTTGTGAACTGTGAGTCCCTTTCTGTGCTTCCTAGCTCCTCACCAACACCCACTTCCTTGGTGATCTCGTTGAGGCACATAGCTTCAAATGCCACCCAAATATGGACTTGTCTACCCTTGAACTCCAGATGCATAATTGTTTGATGTCTCTATTTGGATTCTACCAGAAGCATTCAACTTAATGTATCTAAAACTGAGCTCCTTAACCTTCCCCTGTTTGATCCAAAGTCTTGCCTGGGTCGGAACAAGGAAAGAGCATTTGCTGGCATGCTTCCCACGTGTCTTCCAATCCTGTTTTGTCCAGGAATAAGGCTGGCATTTAATTTCCATTAGACTCTTGCATCCCCTTTGTAACTGATCCAGAGCTTGGGTGGGGAAAAGAGAAATATTAATATTAGCTCTGTAAGTTCCCCTAAGAGAGCTGACGCTGATGCTATTGTTTATGGCTATGATTGTTCTCGTCCTCCCAGATGGTCCTGACCCCTTTGAAATCAAGGTGGAGCCCAGTGTACACAGCAGAGAGGTGGTTGGAGTGATAGAGGGCTCCAATGTGACCTTCTCGGCGGAAACGCAGTCTCACCCTCCGCCAGCCTATTCCTGGTTTCTCCCCAATGGCTCTGCCCCATCTTTCACCACGAGAACTTTCACCATCCATCTTGTGTCCAGGGAACACGAGGGAACGTACAGGTGCTTCGTAAACAACAGTGCCACCCAGCTGTCCCACCTGGCTTCTCTTAAACTCCAAGTCCTTAGTGAGTCTCTTTTTTCTGTTGCTCTCCTTTGTTCCTGTGAGGAACAGAGCCCCCCGAGTTTGAGGAGGACCCAGAGCAGTGGGGATTCTCCACGTGGTCGGTGGCAGAGCAGGGTTTCGACACAGGGAAGGGCCCGCCCCCCGCCTCGGCTTACCGTCCGCAGGAACTTGTCAGTCTCCATGGGCCATCCGTTACCCAGTTCTCTGGAATGTGGGGGTTGCTTCTCAATCAATACAAACACTAACACAATAGTCACACACTTACACACACATAGAGTCACACGCAAAATATAGTCACACGTGCACAGCACACTCATACATGTACAACACACGAGACACAAATCACAGAAGCAACATGTAACCTACAATACCACAGGCATGACACACACTCATATAAACACATATAACATGCACACAACAGACACACACAAGACAATACACAGTACCTAACACATTGCAGACACACAGCACATATACGCACCCACAACACATTTGTATAATATACTCACACATGTGCATAACATATAAAACACACAGGATACACATATGAAACACAGACACACATATCTCCCATACCACACATCTACAACAAAGCCACAAACTCACTCTCACAAAACTTCCACAAAAAACACATATGCACACAGCAGAAGGTAAAGCAAAAGTAGGTTTACAGTTGTTCATGTGGGAAAAATGCAATAATTAACAAATACAAGAATAAACTCCATGTTTCATGTACTCACAATTGTACACTTACTTTTGTCCCACCCGGTAGATAACATACACACAACACACACATCACACTCATTTTCACATACAACATACAAAACATGACATGTCATACATTTAACACCCCATACATACACAAAATTGACATGTGGTACACGCACTCAGTGTATCCACAGACTACACACAGCACAGCCATATACAAAGCGTGTGTTTATACCATACAACACATATGCGTAACACATAAATACCACAAACTCACAGCATACACTCTCATACAGAAACAAATATACAGACAGTACACACTCACTCACACACACATATGCATATGTATAACACCCATACCTCACAGTCACAAAACATATAAACATACCACACACACGTACAATAGAAGCAAATACATAAAATACATCCATATGCTCCATATACACAAAACCCATAATATGTTCACGTAATTGTCACCACACAATACACACTCATACACAAAAGACTCACACATACCACCCACACAGTGTAGTTATATGCAAAGCACATACACATACCCTGCACACAACATACACACTCACACCCCTGGAAAGCCCTGTGGGCCTGACCTGGACAGGAGACTGGGGAAGAGTTCCTGAACCTCATCCTCTATCCCTCTGTGTTGCCAGAACCGCTGACCAAGCCTCTCATCATGACCCCAAGCCTGAACGTCACGGAGAATGCCAGGACCGTGCCCCTGACCTGCCAGACCACCCATGAGGGGGCTCCAGTCCAGTGGTTGCTGGGCGGCAAGCCCCTCCTGCCCAGCAAGCGCCTGGTGCTGTCGGCTGACAACAGGACCCTGGTCATGCACCACCTCTGGCGGAACGACACGGAGCCCTTTGAGTGTGAGGTCTGGCACGGGGGCATCTGGACCCGAAGCGACCCTCTCAGGCTGACCATCTACTGTGAGTCACTCCAAACCTGGACCTTCTCCTCCTCGCTCCCTCCGTTGCTTTTAGTTCTCCCTCCAGCCACTCATTCCACAATTACTGGATACCTGCTCCATGCCAGGCATGTCTGGGCACGAATAAGACAAAGCCCCTGCCCTCGTGGAGTTTACACAGTAGTGAGGGAGACATACCATAAACAGCTAGGCAAGGGAGAGGCATGGTGCGTCCAGTGGGGCTAAGGCTAAGGAGAAGCATGAGGCAGCGACAGCGACAGGGACAGGGCGTGCTGGGAGGGGGAAGGCGTTGCAGTCTTAGCTGGGGTGGTCAGGGAAGACCTCCCGGTGGTGGTGGCCTTGGCGCAGAGCCCTAAGGAGGCAGGGAATGAGCCGTGCAGGCAGCAAAGGGAAGAGAGTTCCAAGGGGAGGGAACAGACTGTGCATGGCATGTCAGAGAGCCCCGAGAAGGCCAAGGTGACCAGAGAGGTGAATCGGGGAGAGTGGAACGGGGCCGGTCGGGAGGTGACAGGACTGGGGCAGATCACGCAGGGCCCTGAGGGCCATGGTGAGGGCCCTGGAGCCTCAGAGGCTCTGAGCAGCGGAGGGATAGGACTAGACACGTTTCATAGGCGTTCCCAGCCCTTGTCTACAGAGTGGAAGCCCGCGAGAGGGCAGAGGCTATAGAAACAGCGTGTTTGTCCAGGTCTTTGGAGAGGCAGCCCCCAACGTGGGATGAAATGGGATTATACATGGCAAGGATTTAATTAGGGGAGACACTCCTGTGAAGAAAAGCAGAGAGGGAGCCAGGAAGGCTGGGAGAGCCATCGGGCTGGGATGCAAGCTGGACCCGGAGTGAGAGAGAAAGGGAGGGATCCCTGGGTTTTAAAGGGAGGGATCCCTGGGTTGGAAGTGGATCCCTGGGTTGGGTGGATCGCCAGGCAGTCTAAGGAACGTTGCCAAGGCTCTCAGGAGTCCCATGGCTCCCAGGAAGGGCCCCGTGTCAGTTTTGCAGCCCGCAGGAGGGCGAGGAGTGGATTTCAGGGTACAGCAGCTGGACCTTTGGTTAATTCAACTCTGGCCATTGGAATTCTGCAAGGCGCCCCCTCGTGGTGACCGAGCACAACTGTCCAATAAGAGATGATGGAGCTGGGCTAGGGAGGCAGCTGTGGCTGATGAGAAGTGGCTGGACTATTGGATGTATTTTGAATGTCAGACTCACAGGATTTGCTGCTGGCTGACATAGAGCAAAAGAGAAAGAGAGCAGTCAAGAACAAGCCCAAGGCTTTTGCCTGAGCTACTCAAAGGATGTAGAAACCATGAGCTGAGGAGGAGAAGATTGGGAGGAAGAGGTTTGTGCAGGGGGAGGAAGCAGGGGTCCACTTTTATACATGTTACGTAGCAGGGGAGACATAGATAAAGGGTTAAATACAATGCCTTTCTCTTCTTTATCCTCCTCTCTTGCCCTCTCCTCTTTCCTTCCTATTTTGGTCATTAAACCAACAATACCTATTTTGTTCTTTATGCTGATCAACGTGTTGGGCACTTGGTAACAGACAGGCATGACTTTCAAAGCTCCCAGCCTACTGGGGACAGGGAGGGCAATCATCAGGCAAAGCAAACACAGTGTCATAAGTGCTGCCGTGGGATGAGAGGATTCGGGGGACCCAAAGGAGGCCCCGCCAGTCAGCAGGATGTGGGAAGCCTCATGGTGAGGGGTGGTGTCTGTGAATAAGAGCTGATGGACCAGTAAGTTAGTGAGGTAGAGCAGACCCAGGGAAGGGCATCCCGGAGAAGGAAGGGAACAAGGGGTGGCTTTGAGGCAAGAGGGAACATGACAAGGATGGAATAGCAAAGAGGGATCTTGTTCCTGGATTGAGAGTGGGCGGTGTGGAGGGGTGAGTGATGAAGCTGGAGGGGTCAGCAAGGGCTGGGTTGTGAATGAGCTCATCAGCCGTGGGCTTTGTCCTGAGGATGCTGGGGAGCCACGGAGGGCTCTCAGCAAGGGTGGGGGAGGGTCAGGGAGTGTCAGGGAAAGACCGATCTGGCTGCTGTGTGGAGGATTTGAGACCAAGCGGTGAGCAGATGAGGGATCCTGGTGGCCCTGGGGTTAGCATGGGGAGAAATGAACAGATTCAAAAGGTATTTAGCAGAGGGCGGGGGCAGGATTTTCCTCCCTTCCTGGAAGGTTCCAACTAGAAATTCTTTGCATCCTTCTTTCCCAGTAGTTTACATTAATTTAAACAAGACAAGATTTAAGCTCTTAGTTTGCAAGAGAAATCCAACAGCCTCTTCATTGGTTTCTTTCAAGGATATGGGAGGACAGCCAAGTGTTCTTTACAAAGATAATCCACAAGTATCTCTTCAGCTGAGAATACATAGATAAAAAAGTAAATATTGTTACAGAGCCATGTGTTGTTAAGTAAGAAATGCCATCAGAATTTCTTTGGAAATTCATAGGACACAGCAACAATTTCTGAAGCCTGATGTCTTACCAGGCTCCTTTGTAAGAATTTGCTTTTGCAAGGGTAGGGTTTTTTTGTTTGTTTGTTTTAATTTTGATTTTCCTTCCTCCATGTTGCAAACTACTGCCTACTCATCAGGCAGCTGAGGGGGAAATGGAGCAGTTTTCTTATCTTGCTGAGATTTCTTTCAACTGCAGTTAAAAGAGCCTCTGTTGTCTGGGGTATAGCCTGGGGTATAATCTTAGTTAGAATTCAGAAGAGCCCTGGCCAGCAGCTCAGTTGATTGGAGCATCGTCCCATATGCCAAAAGCTTGTGGGTTTGATTCCCAGTTGGGACACATACCTACCTTGCAGGTTTGATCCCCAGGTGAGGTGTGTATGGGAGGCAACCAACTGATAGGTGTCTCTCACGTTGAAGTTTCTCTCCCTCTGTCTCTCTCTTTCTCTCTCCCACCCCTCTCTAAAATCAATAAACATATCCTTGGGTGAAGATTAAAAAAAAAAGAATTAGGAAGAAAACAAGCTTAAGAAGAAAAAAAAGGCAAAACTTCCAACGTGGAAGAGAACAAGGCAGAGTAGGATAACCTGCCAGTGGAGGCTGGGCACATGTTTGGCTTTGCACACAGATGGCCCTGACTGCGTGGACATCACCAGGGGCCCGCAGGCCGGGGTGGTCAGCCACGTCGAGGCGGAGCTCAACTCCAGCCTGACCTTGCAGTGTCGGGCCCAGTCCCAGCCAGACGCTGAGTATCACTGGACCCTCGAACACTCCACCAGTGTGTACATGGGGCAGAAGCTGGTCATCGAGGCCCTGACCTGGGAACACCAGGGCACCTACAACTGCACAGCATACAACCCTCAGACCCGCCTGGCCCGCTCCGCCTCGGTCCTGGTCAGAGTGGTAGGTGAGTCCTTCGGGTGCACTACCTTCTCCTGGGGTACGGGTGGCTTTTCCTGGCCTCGTGGTGTAGAAATGAATGTACTGTGTGGGCAGGGGGCCAATCCAGAGCTGTTTGATGCCAACCCCTAACGCTCAGGCCCTAGAACCCCTGCTTCCTAGCTGCGCGCCGGAAACCCCTGGACCTACACCGGTTCCTACCTGTGCATGGGGAGGTGACGCCTGCCTTTCATAGCTGTCTAGAAGTCCAATGAGCCAGGGAGAGAAGGAGTGAGCTGGGAGGGGAATAAGACACTACACTAATAGCGATGGGGTGTGATTGGCAGCGAGTCCCTGTGTTTCTATCTCAAGCTCTTGAGCAGGCAACACAGTGTCACTATGAGCCGGGGCTCACAGCCGGGCCTCAGAGCTTATGAGCTGTGTGACCTTGGGCATGCTACTTAACCTCTCTGGGCTGCTGACCCCTTACCTGTAAAACTGACATAGTAATTATACATATATATCTATCTCATAGATTTGTTGAAGATTAATTAACATGTAAAGTTCTTTGGTGGTGACTGACATACCGCGTTTGTTAAATAATAAAATGATTCTTCATTGAGCCTGTGCCACATGCCTGGAGCAAGTCTTTGTATAATATCCACAAACATTTCTTGGGTATCTCTGCCTGCCAGCTACGAGGCAGGCCTGTATCTCCATCATAGAGTAGAGACTGAGAACTAGAGAGTGGCAGCCCTGTCTAGGGCTGGAAACCAGTCCGGCTGCCTCAAGAGCTATGTTCTTAGTTGTCCACTAGGCAGAGGGCCCCATGCAGCTTCCCGAGTTACCTCATTTCATCTTCAGAACAAGCCCCCTGGTCTTGTTAGGACCGTTTGATGGATGGAGAAAAAGAGGCTCAGAGTAGGAAGCAGTGAGTTCACTTGATGTTCATGGGGATGTAGGATTTGAATGAGATCAAATAGGTAAGACTCTTAGAGCATAGAGCTTGGTAAATGTCAATTTCTATCATCATCACCATCATCATCATCATCTTTTATCAAGGCCCTACTATGGGCCAGGCACTGTGCTGGAACTTTTGCTTGTGATCTCATTTTATCTCTTAAAAGACCTATGGGTTATGAATTGCTATGCTTGTTTGACACACAAAGAAATGGAGGCTCAGTGAATGAAACCAAGAACCACTCAGGTATCCAGGAAACCCCTCCCGCTCTTCCAATGCAGAGCTCCTTCTTCATACCCCGACCCTATTGGCTGCCTTCTCAATCCTTATGGCTGAGCTTCTCCCCTCTGAGAAAGGTTCTGAGCAGAAGAAGAAGGGGCAAACAGCAGGCCAATGTTAATGATAACCACTGCCATTTATTAATCAACCACCTACTGTGTGCCCAGCATTAACATCCATAATCTCATTTCCTCTTAACAACAGCCCTGCGCAGTGGGTACCGTCTCCCCCCCGCTTTGTAGATGAAGAAATAAGACTCGAAAGGGAAATCACTTGTCCTTGGTCACAGGGCCCCAGAGAGTGAAAGGTGCCTCAGGGGAAGGCGAGGTTTCTGGTTGCCAAAGCCCTTTCCTGTGAAAGCCATATCTGATCCATCATCCGAAGCAGGATCATCCTCACACCAACACAACTGTATGAGGTTGACCCTATTGTCCCCATTTTACAAAAGAGACCACTGAAGCGTAGAGAGGTTAAGAGCATGGTCAAGGTCATACAGCTGATAGGTGAACCTAGGCTGTTTGATTCCAGAAGTCATGCTATTACTACCACAAAATCTTACCTCTCTGTGATTGGAAAACCAGCGCTCCTCAAATGGAGTGGAGATGAAGCCACGAGCCTGGGAATGGGGCTGAGAGCAGGGACGCGAGTGTGTCAGGCCCAGGTCTCAATTCTCCCTCCTGGCCCAGGTCCCCAGTCGTCGCTGTCTGCGGGGTCCGTTGCTGGCATCGCCGTCGGGATCGTGGCTGTCGTTGCCCTGACCGTAGGGCTGGGCTGTTTCCTTTACACCAGAAATGCCAGATGGTAAAGCTGGGATTCGGGTGCGGGTGTGCGGCCTTCGGGGGGCCTGCCCTGCAGTGTGGGGGGGGCGTGCCAGGGTAGGGGGTATTGCTGACCACGGTGCTGAGCTGTGTCCGTGGCACCTGGGGAATTCAGAGGGTTTGTGGCATTGCCTACGTACGATGTGGGCAGAGCCTGCGGAGATGGGAAGGACCACATGCACGGAAGTATGAGGGCTTTGGGATTTCAGGCACTCAAGGAAAACAGCAGAAGACCCCATCTGTGAGGTCGCCACTCCGACCTCCAAGGAAGAGCACCTTGCCCAGCCTAGTTCCAGTAAGTGGCTTTGCAGCTGATGCCCAGGGCGGCAGTGAGGGCTGGGGAAGAGGCTGGTACTGGGAGCCCTCTTGCTCCCAGCTTTGCCACCAGGTCACCATGTGATCATGGGCAAGCCCTGTTCTCTCTGGGCCTCAGTGTCTCCATCTGGAAAATGGGTGAGATTAGAGTCAAGAACTCTGAGGAGTTCTGCCTGCTCCAACAGCCACAGAAAAACAGCATTGTGCTGCCCTTCTCTCCTCCCTCACTCTCAGAAAACTTTGTTAATTGATTGCCATAGAGAGAATCAATCACAACACTCCCTTCTGCTGAATCCAAACCAGCTTCTTAATCCACCTCAACACAGGGGCCCAAGCACCTCTACTAATGTGCTTGGTGGGAGTTGACCAAAGGCAAATAAAGCATCTTTGCCATCTCTGGCCTAGGATTCTGGAAGGATGGGCCTCATCAGATGGAAGTCCTCTAGAGACTGTCCAGTCCCACTCAGTTTGGACAAACCCATGTGACTGGGGACCCATTGTGCAGCTGGGGCTAGGTCTTAGATTTCTGTCCCCATCCGTTTGATCAAACAGCCTTCTCTGACTGAGAGCTAGTTTTCTGGAACATCTCAGGTCAAGTTTGCTGGAGAGGTGATTAGGAGTCCTGGAGAGAAAAGAAAGGAGGTTTCTGTCACCTCCTTCCTGGGAATAGAAGTGACCTGGAAAACAACCCCTCCCCTCAGATCTCTTCCTAACTCCAGCCCTGGGCTGGCATTTGCTTTCTCTAGACAAGCCAAAGACTGTGTATGCCAATATACTTGAACTTCAAGATCAGGTCAGAGTCAAAAAGGTAGGTGATGCTCCAGAGGGACCCTCCCTGCTCCCCTGTTTGGCTCTTCCTCAGCCTAGAAGGGCTGTTCCAGTCCCACATCTTGGGATGGGAGGTCAGGCATGTTCTCTTGGGGACCCTAGTGCCAGCTTGCGTTCCTGCATTTCTTCCCCGTCTTCTTCAGAGATCCCAAGACACTCCTGGCTTTTCCATCTCTTCTCCTTGTCCTCCTGTTCTTTAATGTGACAATGCCTAGCCTGGAGCCCGCCCCCCCCCGCCCCCCTCCCCTGGAAATCAGAAAGGACATAATTGCTTGTGAGGCTAATGCCATTTCTGAGAATTTCTGTTGCGGCCCCAAACACAAGCTCTGTGACCATTTCTTTTTGTGCCTGCAGATGCTGTCTCAAGAGCCCCCAGAGCAGTTTTATGAGGTATGTTGACTCTGTTGGATTTGATTTTTAGAGCTGCAGAGGGAACACAGTCCTAGAATTTTAGATTTGTCAAGTATGAGGAATCATCGTGCCTAAATCTTTCTGGTGCATTGCAGGGCCAGGGATGGGGAGGAGGAAAGTGCAAATTGGTACTTTCCAGACACTGTGATTCTAAGGCAGTCTGTGCCTGCGGCCCCCAATCAGTCTCTTGGTTCACTTGCAGAAGGAGTTGCCTTCTGCAACCCCTGGGGGCTCTTCTCACGGCCTGAGGAAGCCATCGCCCACGCTTGTGTTGCATCCATCTACTCCACCAAAAGGAAACACAGAATCAGTCTATGAGGTAGGCATTTTTATGTCACGCGGAGTCTTTGGAGAGGCTGAGAGCTATCACCAACTTGCTTTTTCCTCCTTGCTGAAGAACCTGTGAAATAAACTCGAGAGAATTTTCCTTTAAAAACCTTTCCAGCTCCGTATCATCCATTGCCACCTCACCACTTAATTTCATTGCCATCCTTTTCCCCTCCACCCCATTTCATCCCTGTTCTTTCTATCCGTATATTTAATCCAGCCCATCCACTCTATTTCTTAGCACTCAGTTCCTCTCTATGCAACATCCGTATTTACATTCATTGCCATTTGATTGGCTTTCGTTTCATCCCACCGCATTCCATTTCTTCTCATTCTATACATTTCTTTTCCACTCACTTCCTTTTCATTTCTTTCTTTCTTTTCCCTAATTTCCTCATCCCCACCCCTTCCCCTTCCATTCAGTCGTTTCACTGTTTTCCATTCCCCTCCACTCTGCTCTCTTCCATTTATCCTCCGTCATTCCTCTCTACCCATTCACTCTGTGTTCCACTCCATTTCATCCCACTCCATTCATTTAACTTCCGCCTGCTCCTCCTGTTCTCGTCCATTGCCCTCCATTCTACACATCTTTGTTACTTTCAATTCCATACTTCCCACTTCATTTCCTACTTTCAAGTATTTTCATTCCCTTTCATTTCATGCTATTCCATCAGTTTCATTCAATGCCATTTCATTATTTTAGAGGCCATAGCATTCCACTCCCCCCTTTTCATTCTTTTCAATTTCATTGCTTCATTTCCATCCTTTAATTCCCACAATTTCCCTTCATTATATTACTTTCCTGTCATTTCTTCTTTCTCCTTCCTCTTTCTCACTTCACTGCTTTCTGTTCCGTTCTTTTCCCTAAATTCATTTCCTTTCCACTCTTTTCCATTCACTTCCATTCTGATCCTGCACTTTATCACTCTTTCCATTTCATCTGACTTCATTCTTTTCCACTACAATTTTCCTATCGAGTCCATTCCTTTCATTGATATTTCTTGGGGGCACCATGCCATTTAGTCCACTCTATCCCCTGCCTTTTGCTTCCATTGCACTCTTTTCTGTTCCATTCTATTCCATTTCTCTTGATATCACTCACGTCTTTCCCATCCCTGTCAGCTGCATTGCTAACTATTCCTTTTAACTCATCTCCTTTTCTTTCTGATCCTTCATTTCTTTCATATTTACTTCCCTACATTTCTCCCACGGGGGATTTCAGGCAGTTTACAGCAAGCTTACATACCCCACTATAAAATGGTACTAAATCAGAAATAGGAATCACAATGAGAAAAATATTTTTAATAATAGTAGGAGTCAAGATATGGATAAAATGTAAAAATATGCTGGACCTACATAGTATCTGTCCCTATACTTCTCATTTGTCTTTGAGTTTCCTGGTGGCCAAATAAAAAAGGGAATACAATCAGTTTCATCACCCAAAAGGAAGAAAACTATTCGCTCATCCAGGCATAAGCAGGGCTTCCCATAGCAAGTTCAGCTAACTTGGGTGATGGCTTCCTAGTTCTAAGGGCAAGTGAAATCACTTCAGAGAACTCATTGGAACTTGCCAGATTACTCTATTCCAGGGATGGACTTTAGACCCTATACTCTAAAGGAGGCAGTCATTAATTGACTTTAAGGAGGGAGAAGGAGGTGGCCAAATCAATTCCCTATTGACAATGTCTTGTTAAGTTTAGAAAAGAGACAGTTTAAGGACATAAAATTCCAATATTTTAGTGTCTGAGGGCTGGCTTGGAGTAGAGGAACAAATGTGTTCTCTGGTGTTCCAGAGGGCAGGTCTAATTACCTTGGAAGCAATTAGAAGGTAGCAGACTTTAGCTCAATTGGCAGATGAACCATTCTAGAAAGATACGAATGTCCCATATAGCTTAGGGATTTTAAAAAATCCTCAACCGAGGATATGTTTATTGATTTTAGAGAGGAAGGGAGAGAGACAGAGAAACATTGACGTGAACAAGGAACATCAATCAGTTGCCTCCCATATGTGCCCCAACCAAGGATTAACCCTGAAACCTAGGTATGTGTCCTGACCAAAAATCAAACCCACAACATTTGGTGTATGGGATGATGCTCCAACCGACTGAGCCACCCACCCAGGGCTATCTTAGGGATTATTTACAAAGCAAACCCTCTGAAAGTAGTACAGATAAAATGGGGATTAATTGGAAGAACACTGGAGAATCTCAGATAATTCAATTTCAGAAATTACTTGTGGGCCATATGGGGACTGGAATATTAGCAGGAAGATTTTTCTCTGTTATGTGATTGCTCATTTTTGATGATCTATGAATTTGTTCCATTTTTCCCATCCAGATTGAAATCTTAGGCAACCTTCCTGGTCACTACTCTTCTATAGCTTCAGATTATATAAATTGTCCTTTACTATATTTGGGCTTCTAGGTTCAAAGAGAATAAACAGACAGGCTCAGGTTATTGCATGGACTGTGCTTAGGTTGGTCAGTTTTCCAATCAGCTATGAACTGGTACAAACTTAGCCTCCTTGGCCCCTCTCTTTATCAGGGTCTGGGGACAAAGTTTGTTCCCTTTCCTGTAACTCTCACCCACCAAACTTCCTTTTGTATCTCCTTGATATAAATGCTGTCACGTGATAGTTCATGTTGCAAGGAAGGCTGAGAAAGTGAGGTGGTATCCTTCCCAGTCTCTTCACAGAAGCAGGTAAGGGAGACACATGGGGAAAGGTGTCAGGTCAGTCAACTCAGCATCTGCTACATCCTGGAGGGATAAGAAGGAGCAAACCATGCAGAGGGTCTGGAGTGGAACATTCCAAGTTGAAGGGCATCAAGTGAAAAACCCCCAGGTGGGTGTATTAGTGATCTGTTGCTGCATAATGAATTTACTACAAGCTTATCAATTAAAGCAACATAAATTTACTGTCTCACAGTTTTTGTGAATCAGGAGTCCAGGCACTGCTCATATTGGTCTTCTCCAAGGTTGTAATCAAGGTGTTGGCCAAGGCTCAGACCTTATCTGAGGTTTGGCTGGGAGAAGGATCCTCTTTCAAGCTTATGTGGTAATTGGCAGCATTCAGGTCCTTTCTGGTTGTCATCTGAGGGCTTCATTTTCTTACCGGCTGTCAGCTGGAGGCACCCTTACTCCTTTGCCATGTGGGTCTCGCCACAGGGAGCTCACAAGACTACTTCAAAGCCGAGGCAGAAGTCACAATCTTACATAATAGAATCACATGCTTACAATCCTCTACTTTAGGTCACCTTTGTCATAGTCTACTGGTTAGATGCAAGTCACAGGTCACAGGTCTTGCACTCAAGACGGTGGGTGGGGGATAACATAAAGGCAGGAACACCAGGATATGTGGGTAATAGGTGCCACCTTAGCGCCTGTCCTCCACAGTGGGGGAAATATATGGGCCCTTCTAGGAACAGCGAGGTGCCAGTGTGTCTGAAGTGCAGTAAGAAAGGAGGAAGATTTTTGGAATTTTCAATGATGGGGAAGTGCTAGAGTGCTCGGGTCCTAGACAACAGCAAGTAGAGAAGGAGGGCTGAACCAGAAGATGGAACTCACCTTTTCTTCTTATGTAATAGGTGCTTGTGAATCCAGAATGCAGCAATTACTGCGGAATGAAGTCCTCAGTCTAATGGAAGCAAGGGCCCTTTCTCCAGAAGTCCTCAAGAAACCACGCTCAATCGTATATTCCATGACATTTACTGGATGCATATTATTCTCCAGCCACTCTCTTTGTAGACTGAGACATTCTATTTCAATGTGTTATTCTGGCTCTGGACCAAGGTCCCACCAAATGTTAGGCTTTTGACTCATATTTATTTAAGTGCAACAAAAACAGAGAAAAAGTAACCTAGAATTATAGGGCCTAGGTTTGAGTCCCAGCTGCTGGAGTGGCCATAGCTGCATCGTAAGAATAGACAAAACAAACACTGCTGATGGACACAACATTCAGAGAGAAGTGTATGGCCAGCCAGGATCTTAGGCCTTTAAGATAGTTTTGAAAATAGTAGCCAATGCAACCCAACATGAAAGGGGCTATCTACTTTAAAATACTGAAGAGATGGAATTATTATCTGTAGACGATTATCTCACTAGAAATGCCAAGAGAATCAAATAAAACTGTAAGAATTCATAACATTTCAGTAGATTAACCACATGCAAAATAAATATTTCTTTCTATATTTTAAAATCCTCATCTGAGGACATGTTTCCATTGATTTTTGGAGAGAGAGAGGAAGGGAGGGGGAGGGAAAGAGGAAGATGGATGTGAGAGAGAAACATCAATTGGCTGCCTCCTGTACGCATTGCAACCAGGGATGGAAGCCACAATCTACACGTGTGCCCTGACCAAGAGTTGAACCAGCAACCTTTGGGCACACGGAACCAACACTCCAACCAACTGAACCATGTGGCCAGGGAAAAATAAGTATTTCTTATAATATCAATAAAAAAAGTTATAAGAAACTCTAAGGGTAGAGACTACATTTCAAATAGCAATATTTCTGTAGTTGTAGAGATTACATTTCAAATAGCAGTATTTTTGTAGCTGTTCGTTAAAAGTCAGAATTTATGTGAGAAAAACTATAGGAGTCTTTTGGAAGCATTAAAAGAAACTTAAAAATAACATTTTCATACAACAGGGCTCCAGTTTCCTGCTTCCTCCCTGGTGGGGAGGAAATATCACAATTCCCTTAGTGTGACTGGGCTGGTTAATGAAATGTTGGCTGTTACCGTGTTTAACATAGAAACTGGAATCTTTATTTACTCAAAACAAAATTATTTATTGAGCATCTATTATTGCGAGGTACTGTAGGTGCTGGGAATAAGGCAGTAATAAAATAGATGCAAATCCTTTGTCTTACGGAGTTGAGAGTCTAGTGGTGAGGGCAGATAGACGACAGACAACATAAATATCTGAAATACATTGTGTGTTCAATAGTGAAAAGTTCTTTAAAAATAAAGACGGGGTGGGAGACAGGAATTATGTGGGGAATAAAGGATTTGTTTGCAAGTTTACAATGGTGGGGGAATGCCTCATGAGAAGGTGACATCGGCTCAAAGACCAGATGTTGGGGGATCCTCAGATGAAGAGTCTGCCAGGCAGCATGAACAGCGCATGCAAAGGTCCTGAGGCAGGAGTCTGCTTGAGTTGTTGGAGAAGGTAGAAATGCCGGCATGGCTGGGGTTGAGGCGAAAAAAGTTCGAGATGAAGGCAAAGAGAAGAGAGAGAGATTACTAAAATATCAGATTCTTTTAGGGCTTGATATGAGCTCCCTGGGCTGCCTACGGGTGTGTAGCAACTATATGCAGCCTTGAGGACCAAGGAGGCCGTGCGCCCCAAACTTCTGACACGCAGGCGCTTGGGAGGAGTCCCGGTGGGTTCCATCGGATCCCATTTTCTCGGTCGCTCCTGGGCGTCAGGCCGGGGCCAGGGCCAACCTTTTCCCAAGTCAGGCACTCATCGCGCATCGGTGTCTTGGCTTCGGCCTCCCAGTCCCACTTCTCTTCTCGACGCTCCACACAAACTCGTACACACACACTCAACTGTCAGCCTGGACCCTAAGCCGCACGCCCAGTTCCGGTCTACCTGCGTCCCCGGGCCCACCTACCCTAAGGCGCTGGAACCCCGCCCAAACGCCGCTCGTGCCGCCGAGGTTGCTGGGAATTGTAGTTCGAACTCGCCGAGTCCAAATGCACTTCCGGTTTCGGCCAGAAACGCAGCCATTGTCCACCGCGCGGACGCTGTCTGCCTCAGCCCTTGGAGGTTAACCCGAGCGGCCTTGCGAATGCCGAGTTGGGGAGGGGACAGAACTAGCGTAACCTGAGTCTGTCGTGTGTAGAATCGGGACAGGGGGTTGCCTCAACGAGCTCGTCCGGCCCCAGAGCTGTGCCGGACCCTGAGGCTGGGCCACGCCCGGCCTGGGTGGCGAACCTGTAGACGCCCAGGTTGGTGAGGGGCGGGGCTGAGCTGCGTTGTCGCTTGAGCGCACGCGCAGGGTCTAGGCGAAGAGCTGGGATTGGGGGTATGGGTGGACGAGCGGGTATCTACGCGGGCTGCGCTTCGGCGATAGGTTACCGAAGTTGGATGTACTAGTAGTACAGCTGCAGATCCCGACACTGTGCTTTGAGCATGCGCGGGTCCTGAGCCAGGTGGTGCTCTTGCCTAGGTTTAGAGGGTTCCCAGGTCGGTGGAAGGCGAGCTGCGAGCACGGGTATTGAGGGGGAGGATCTTCAGAACCTCTCCTCCCCTCGTCCAAGGCTAGGCCTGGTTAGTGGAGGAGGACTTTAGGACCACTGGGTTGATGAAGTACTCATTTTCAGGTTTTGGTTCTGGAGAAGCAGTTGTTTGAGTAGGAAGCACAAGGTTGGAGGTGAGATCCTGCGCAACTGGCTCAGGGACTCTGGAGCAGACACAGCTCTTGTAGGCCTGGAGGCGCCCTGAGCCGTGGAGAGAACAGGCTGGAGTTGCAAATTCTTGCCCCAGGAGAGGCAGTGTTGCTTCAGCGAACCCTCAGTGGGAATGCCTGATGGACGGCAGAGTCTCAGGTCGAAGGAAGGACCAGGGCCTGGGCAGAGTGCTCCCTGCACCTGCTGAGGGAGTGTAGTGAAGTAGTTCTGAATGGGAAGCAGGAATTTGAACTGGTAATCTTGGGTCTCGTGTAGGACTGTGCAGAGTCCTAAGACACTCAGGTTTGGTGGAGACAGGGTTGGAGGTACAGAATCGGAGCCCAGGGAGGACAGAGTTGCAGTAGCGGCCATCAAATGGGCAGCTGTTTGGGGATGAATCAGGATGCTGCCAGCATGATTATGAAGTCGGTGTTCCCCGGGGCCTTTGCTCAGGACTACTCTGCCTTCTGGGCATGAGGACGCCCAGGTTGGTAGAGGGACAGGGTCTGTGTTGCCGATTTGGACCTGGAAGGGGCTGTATTCAGCATGGCACTAAGTGTCCATGTTTGGGTGGGAGGAAGTGGAAAGTCCCAGTTCCCATGGGAGCTGATCTCTCATGGGCTTGACAACTCCCAGGCCAGTGCCCAAGTCCTGAGGCTGCTTTTGGAGCTTTGTGCTCAAGCTACTGTTTGGGTGTTCCAATGTTTTTGTTGCAAGCAGACAGTGGATACAGGTGACCCCAGAATCCTCATGGAGACTTGCAGGTGTTGTTTGTGTCTCAGGTGGGTTGAGGCACAGAAGGGGAGATATATTAATAGATTCTCATCTGAAGATCAGGGACTGCGTAAGACCTGTGGGCTGGCAGAGGGCGCACGTTCCGAGCATGAGCCTGCTCTGTGGATGCCAGCAAGAGGAGGGAGCCTGGGTGGGTGACCTCCATGCAGTGGCCCCTGAAAAGAGAGCCAGGAGAGACCTCTGGGAGTAGAGGCCTAGAGGCCCCATTTTGGAGCTGCAGATTCTGGTCTTGGGGCTGCTCCAGCTGCACTCCGTACATGCGTTGGCCTTTGGGCAGAATGGGGAGGCAGGGGAGCTCCTAGGACCCAGGATGCTCCGGTGGGTAGAGGGAACAGCTGCAGAGGGGTAAGGCTGGACCCGGCCTCTGCACACGCAGAGGTGTTTGGGCGAGAAAGGAGAGGCTGTAGGATGAGGCAGGGTGCCGGGCTCTTTGTGTACATGGCACTCCAGTCACAGCCTGGCGATGCCCAGGTTGGTAAAACGACAGGAACTTTTGGAGCTGCAGGTGCCCAGGAAGATGTTTGGGCAAGAGTCAAGGCAGGTGTAGCTCAAGTGGGAGCCTGTGGAGGTTGGTGGAGGAAACAGCCTGGGTGCAGGTCCACGGTACGGCTGCCTTGTGACCTACACTATACTGTTTGAATGGGAATCCAATGGAGGTGAGGGGATGGGTAAGAGGGAGGGATGATGTGGGGCTGGGACACATAGGGTAGGGTTTGCCAGGGGCTGTTCTAGTCTTGGGCCCAGAAACATCTGGCTGGTGCAAGGACAGCTGAAGTACACCTCCTGGGCCTGGGCAGGGCTGGCACGTGCTGGTATCTGTCAGAGGCTACCAGTGCCATGCTGGCTCTGCTGCCAGCTCAGGCCCCAGGACATCCAGGTTGGTGGCGAGACCAGGTCAGAGCTACACAGTCAGGGCCCAGGAGGGTTTGGGGTGAGAATCTGGGCTAGCACCGTTGTACTCAGGGCTGGCTGACCCCAGAATGGTGGAGGGCGCAGGTCTCGGGGGCAGATGAGCTCAGTATATGCTTGGCTATTTGAGCCGGAAGCAATCGGTGGCAGGTTGCTGGAGGGTCAGGCGTGGTTAATGGGAGGGTAGGATCCTGGTGGGTTGGGGCTGTGTCACGAGCTCCCTGCACTTAGGAAGTGTGGCTCTGCACCATCAATCCCAGAACCCTCATGCTTTGCCAAGGGAGAGGTGCTGGTTTGGGGCTGCAAATTTCAGGTTGGGGAGGAAGGGGCGCACACCCGGGGGTCCTCGATGTGCTAGGTGTTTGTGGGGATCCCAGGACCCAGTGGGGTAGGGAGGGACTGGTTTGTGCTGCAGGTGTTGGTCGTGAACAAAGGCTGCTTTTGGGCATGAGGCGGTCTTACTGGTACGTGGTCCAGAAGCCCGAGATAGTGGAGGAACTAGTTTGGAGCGGCCAAGTCTTGGCTTAGGAGAGACACCAAGGGAATCTAGGTGCATGCACGGCTATTCGGGCTGGAATCTGGGCAGGAACCTCTAGAAATCTACACACTTATGGGGATTGCATCCCAGAAGCGAGACTAATCCAGGGAGGGGGGTGCTAAGTGGACATGCAGGAGGGTGCTCTACTCAGGGCCTCTCCCCTTGCAGCTCAGGACCTCAGGCCCCTGCCTGAGGGAGGAGAGCATGGAAGAGCAGGATGAGAAGCCCCCAGGGCCCCTGAAGTCCTGTGTGCAGGTGAGTGAGCTTCTCTCCCACCCCCCCACCCCGACCTGCAGACCTAGAGCTTGCTCCCAGCCAGGCCCCCACTGGGCTTGGGAGCGTATTCCAGCTCTCTGCAGTTTTGGGGGCTTATGGCCCCTCCTCTCCTGCATGGTTCTGACACTTATATACCATGCATTTAATGAGGCTCCCTGCATTTCTTCACCCTTTTAACCCAGATAACTCTCTCTGGGAGGAATTTGGCATCCTGTATCAAAAGCCCTTAGAATACGGAGTGCCCTTTGGCCAACAACACAGCTTTGTTTGAGAATGAGCTCTTGGGAAGAATGTTTGAGCATATGCAATGCAAGAGGAGAGCTCGATGAGTTATGGTAACACCATGAAATGGAATATACTGTAGTCATTGATATAATGCATATTTACCGACATAAAAAGATATTTATTTATGATCTGTGTTAAGTCAGTAACATTTAGAAATGACCACCTTTTAAAAAATGGACATAGTTTGTGTGTGTATGGAAAATATGTTAGAAGACTGTAATTATAGCAGTTAGCAAAGATTATCAGTATGTTACATTTGTGTGTTTTTTCATAATCTTAAGGGTCCTTCTCCTATGTCATACAACTGAGTTAGCAATCTGTTCATTTTAATTTTTACTTTCTTCACATATTTGTTGGTTGTGTAACCAGTGGAAGGCCCTGTGGAAGGCACTGGGGAGAAAGATGACTTAGTTCTCATAGACAGAATTGTGTTTCTTATATATTCCAAGATTACATAGGAAAAGCAAAAAAACTTCTTTCTTGTATTAGTTACCCATGATTGCATACCCCAGAATTTAGCAGCTTAAAACAACCAGCATTTGTTATCTCACACATTTTGTGAAGGTCAGGACTCTGGGAGCAGCTTCTCTGGATGTTTCTGGCGCTCAGGGTCTCTGACGAAGGTGCCGTGCCGTTGGCTGGGGCTGCCACCTTCAGGAGCGTGACCGAACAGAAGGACCCAATGCAGGGTCACTCACGTGGCTGTTGGCAGGGGGCCCTGGTCCCATGCCATGCAGCCCTCTCCCCAGGGTTGCACGACACAGCAGCTGGTTTTTCCCTGTGCAGATGACCTTGCGGTGGAGGGGTGGGGGGGATGGGCCGAGTTATCTTCTGCCTGTAACTGTTCTCTGTGGAAGTCAACAACAGTCTGATTCCTGTTTCCATTTTGTGAAGTATGTGAAGAAAAAAGGAAACTCTTCCTTTATTATATGCAGAGGTGACCGTAGAACAAAAAGGATAATTTTTAAATGCTCCAGTTCAGTTGGTTGGAGCGTCATCCCATACATCAAAAGGTTGTGGGTTCAGGCACATACAGGAGGCAACCAATCAATGTTTCTCTCTCACATCAATGTTTCTCTCTCTCTTTCCCTTCCCCCCTCTCTAAAAGCAATGAAAAAAATGTCCTCTGGATAGGATAAAGTGCTTCAGAAGGACAGATGCTAAGTGAAATAAGCCAGATGGAGAAGGACAGATAACTGCATGATTATTCTTATATGTGGAGTCTAAAACAGTCGAACCCATAAAAACAGAGAGTGGTGGCTACCAGGGACTGGGCGGTGAGGGGACAGGGGTAAATGTTGGTCACAGGGGACAAAGGTTCAGTTAGGTGGGATGAGTAAGTTTCAGGGGCCTAATGTACAATGCGGGGACCGAAGTTTACTGTACTGTGAACTTGAACTTTGTTAAGAGAGTTTGTCTTAATTGTTCTCACCATACAAAATAATTCTAACTATGTGAGGTGATGGATGTGTTAATTAGCTTGATTGTGGTACTCATTTCACAATGTACACATATAATCAAAGTGTCATGTTGTACACCTTAAATATATACAATTTTTATTTGTTAGGTATACCTCCAAAGTTGCAAAATAGTGGGAAAAATGGTCCAGAGCACACAGAAGAGGGGGTAGAGGCTTTTAATTCCATTCGTATATCCCAACCCTGCCCATATCTCTAGTCTTGTCAAATTCAGATGACTCAATACTGAGGAGAATACAAAGTTGAAAATATATAATTCTTTACAGTGTAGAATTCATGACCCAGGGAAGAGGCATACAGATAAATAATACAAGAATGATTTTACTGGAACAGTAAGAATCCAGTAAAACCAGCTAAGAAATCCTAAGGAAAGAAGAGACGAGACTTAATGCTATCTGGGAACGCCTCATAGAAGAGGTGGCATTTGATCCGAGGCTTGAACGGCCCGACTTTGAGCGGTGGGGCAGTGGAAGGGCCAGGGGTGCAGCTCAGGCAGTCAGTGTGTGGGTCATCCCTGGTGAACTCCACGGACTGAAATGAGTGTACTAAGCTTCATAACCGTTAACTTCTGCGTCGGTGAATTAGACATCATTCCTTCAAAAAAATTAGATAATTGTGTGAGATAGTCTGCGTCAAAGTACTCTGTATATTGGTAAAACGTAGGCAAATGTTGGATGGTGAGAGCGAAGATAGAAATAAGATATAATACTGGAGACGTTCCTAAGATAGTAATCCAGAGTGGCTAGAAGGAGTGTACATGTGTGTGTTCACACACTTGTGTGACAACATGGTTTTTGAGCATTTAGTTAGAGAAAGTTGAGAGTAGGTTCTGGAGGATGAAGCTCTCAATTTTCTGAGAAGGAAGGGCTCCCAAAGAGGTTTCTTCTAGCCACAGGAAGGACTTGAGTTCAGCCACGATTTGGTGACTTCGGGAGCCATGGGGACAAATGTGTAGGCTTGAGTAGCACATTCCATGTCCTTTTTTTCAGTGGCTGCTTTACTGAGAGCACACACTTGTGAAGTGCCTACCATGTGTCAGTGCTGATTTAAGCCCAGTAAAAGCACGGTGAACAGGAGAGCTCAGCTTTACGGAACCCACTCTAGTAGAAGTACAGTTTTAAAAAACATCCCCACACAGAAACAAAGGTGTAAAGAAGCGAAAGCGGGGAAACTGGTGGAAGGGACTGGATGGGGCAGGGAAGAATATCTGATGCAGAGTTGACAGCAGAACTCATATCTCTTGTATTTTCCCTGTGAAAACTTATTTATTTATTTATCGCCGCCCCCCCCCCCCCCCCAACTCACTCCCTGAGACATTTTAAGTCTCTGACACCAGCAAGCTGTCCAAGATTTTAACTCAACTCTGGGAATCTACCCAGAGTAGAATCCGATTCCACAGGTGAGGAACTCAGTCCCACAAAACCACCCTGTGAGTGCCACTACTCCAGGTGCCAGCTGCAAGCCCATGATGTATGTGCTTTTTTTTTTTTTTGAGCGACTGGCTATAAACCACACATTCCCATGACCCCCTCCTTGGGTTCAATTAATTCGCTAGAATGGCACACAGCAATCAGGAACACCCGTTTACTTAGTAGATTACTGATTTATCACAAAGGATCGTAAAGGATACAAACGAGCACCCAGATAGGGAGATACACAGGTCCAGGCCCTGAAGGAAGGCGCTTCTGTCCTCGAGGAGCTTGGGCCCAGCAAGGTGGCTCATGGAAGCATTCCAGTTCCCCAGTGTGGAAGCTGTCCTCAAAAAAAGGAACTGAGGAGCTGTTCTTTTGGGTTTGTATGGAGGCTTCATTACACAGTCACGATGCCCAAGCCCCTTGCCTTTCCCCGGAAATCGGGGTGGGACTGAAAGTTCTAATTCTCTAAAGTTGTTGGCTCCTGCTGGCAGCCAGCCCCTACCCTTGGGTGGGTTCCAAAAGTCACTGCATAACATTGCAAGAGAGCTCTGAGCCAGGATCTGTGGATGAACACTAGCTGTAACTTAGACATATGTTTTTGTCATCTGAATGACCAAATATATGCATATATGAAATATAAATATAAGAAATATAACTACAGGGGTGGGCAAAAGTAGGTTTGTAGTTGTGAGTACACAAGACAGATTTTATTCTTGTATTATTGTATTTGTGTTACAACTGTAAACCTACTTTTGCCCACCGCTGTATATATTTATAAGAAATATACACACATAGGAATTCTCTTGTTTCAAAGTAATTTTTCAAGAGAAATAATTTTTGCTGGTTTCTGATTAATTAAGGTAAATAAGGATTATTAGCTCTGGCTGGTGTGACTCAGTGGATTGAGCGCTGGCCTGTGATTTGAAGGGTCACTGGTTTGATTCCCAGTCGGGGCACATGCCAAGCTTGTGGGCCAGGTCCCCAGTTGGGGGTGCGCTATAAGCAATCAATCGATGTATCTTTCACACATAAGTGTTTCTGTCCCTCTCTTTCTCCCTTCCTTCCCATCTCTCTCAAATGAATAAAAATTTTTTTTAAAAATTATTAAAAAAATAGATATGGTATTAAAACATAGGCATTGAACCTGCTCCTCAGTTCTTCCCCTCCCCAAAATAATTGCTTTTAATGCTTTGGAGACCGTCCTTCCTGACTTCTCTGTGTATGTTTATATTCTATAAAAATCTATTCATATTTGATATACTGTTCTTAGTTTTTTCATTCAGTAGTGCATTATAGACATCTTTCTGTTATTTGTACTCATCAGTTCATGCAAACCTGTCTCTTCTCTTGACTGTTAAATAGTATTTAGTTATCTGGATAAAGTGTAATTTGTTTAACCAGGCATTTTCTCATGGACATTTATTCCATCCTTCCATTTTTGCTAGGATAATGTAACCCTTTAAGGAGATTTATTGTACATATATCTAAGTGTACTTTCTACAGCATTATTTCCTAAGGGAATATTTACAAGTAGACTTGCTGGATATTACATTATGTTTAAAAAATATTTCCATTAAAAAGACAAAAATAAAAGCAAAACGTGTCTCCCCAAACAGCCAGAATCTGGATTAAGCATGTGCATGAGTTAGAATTATGGATGGCACCCCTGCCAGCTTCTTAGTTCTGACAGTGTGCCGGGGTTGTGTCTGGCACCAGCACTGGGGAAGCTGGGCGAGGGGCACACAGGAGTTCTGTTCTATTTTTGCATTCTTGTAAGTCTCAAACTGCTTAAAAATAAAATGATATTTAAAAAAATATATTGCCAGTGAAGAAAGGTTATATCAACTTAAACATCCACTCAGGGTATACGACCAGTACCACGGGATGAGTTGTGAGCAACAGGCAGACGGACCGTTTCACATGGCTGGGGTTTGGGTACGTACAGGGGTTTTGAGCACATCGGTAAATATAAAGAGGATAATGGGAGGCGGAGAGGGAAGGTGCAAATATGGAAAGTAGGAAGGCTAGAATACAATGCGTTGAATTGTAATTGGAGGTGCAAGCGGGTGGTATAGCCACGTGAATTTATGGTCTCTAACATACAGAGAGATAATTAGAAAGAGGTTTAGTTTTGTCTGATTCAAAGAGTTGAGCATCTTTTTGTATATCCATTTTAGGTCTTTATAGTTGAGCTACATTGTATTTTCCTTTGTCCATTTTTCTGTCAAGACTACCTTTTTCTTACTGACTTGGTAGAAGTCTTAACAGTAGATATTTATTGCTGCTGCCTTTATTGGTGGTGCTTTCTGCCAAATGCTTTACGAAGTTAATTTATGGATTTTTTTTCCTTGATCATTCTTTGGTCCTGCTGTATTCTGCTTTACTTGCTCACAGGTCAGAGATGCAGGGACCAGCTGGACTGTGCCTTTCTTCTCCCTAGTGCTGGGGACACTCATGGCTCCATTCACCTGGGAGCGGGGCTGGCCTGGAAGATCCACAGAGACCTCATGCACATGTCCAGTGTCTCAGTGCCCCTCCAGAGGTCACTCCCCGCCCCCGGCCCACGCCCCAAAATAGCTCACTTGAATTTACTGATGGGAGGGAGCAGAAGTTTGGTGGGATGTGTTGAAACAGGTGGTATGTCAAACCCCTGCCTACTCACAATGAGAGTTTTGAGCTGTCACTTAGCTCCCTTTATTTTCTTTTCTCTCGCCTATTTTACCTTCTTAGGACTCTCTCCTTCCTCAAGAGATGATCATCAAGGTCGAGAGAGAAGATGCTGGGTCACTGGTCATCCCATCCCAGGTGAGTTGGACCCATGGCCTCTTCACTGAGAAATGTGTGTGGCTGGTGGGTGGCAGAAGCCAGATTGAAGTGAACTGGGAAGTGAGTAGAAAGTGATGGAAATGGAGATGAGAGTGTGTGACTTTTACCGAAATTTGGTTGTCATGTGAAAGATTGAAGAGAGTGATAGCTGTGAGGAAATCTGAGGTTGAGGGACTTTTTTTTTCTTTAAGGATTGAAAAGATTTGACTCTTAAGTGGTTCCAGGGAGGAGTTAGTGGAGAAAAAGAAGTTAATGATGAGGAAAGAGAGGAGATAAAGTTATAAAGCCGAGTCTTTGATTAGTGCCAGGGGAATCAATTCAGAGCATATGTGAATAAATTGGCTCTATGGAGGAAGAAGGGCGCATATAGGACAAATGAGGTTGAGGGAGTTATGTGAAACCTTGACTTCATCTCTGTGAACAAGAAGATGGAGTTATCTGTTAGGCATGAGGGTGGGGACTGGAATGGAGAGCTGTTTGAGAAGTGTTGAGAAGGCTTAAAACAGTAATTTTGGATTATGGGAGAACAAGCTGCTCCAGGAGGCCTCTCAGGGTTGCTGGTGGGTCTGAAAGGATCATTCCAAGGTAGTGACCACTAATTGATAACACGCTATCCAGTTGCTTTTGTGGGTTCCCCCAAAAGTGGGGGCCTACTCTCCACAGATGGCAAACTGACATTCAGATTTGTTCAGTTTTTGTAGCCACATGCATTCAGTGGAAGCCCTGTAGGTCAAGGTAATATCAAAGAGAATTTTTGGATACATTTAATAGGATTAAAATGAATGATCCACAGACTCTAAACTGAGTAATTAAGATGGAAAAGATAAGGAGGACACTAACTAGAAAGGAAGAGAATATAGTTGGTAGATAGTAAGAGCAGACATTTCCATAGAGTTAATAGCCCCAAACCATCCAAGGGCAAGAAAGGTAAAGGGAATAATTGAGCAAATAAAGTCAAGAAGTCTGCTAGAGGGGTGAGGGGGTTGGGGGACTATGTGAAAAAGGTGAAAGGATTGAGGAATACTGATTGGTAGTTACAAAATAGTTATGGGGATATAAAATACAGCATAGGGAATATAGTCAATAGTATTGTAACAACTGTATTTCCAGTGTCAAGTGGGTACTGGAAATATTGGGAGGACTACATGGTGAAGTATGTTTTATGATTATCTAACCACTATGCTGTGCACCTGAAACTAATACAGAATAGTACTGACTATAAACCATAATTGAAAATAAAATTTAAAAATAGTCTGATATAATCAAAAGTAATAATCTGATGTAACCCACGAGTGGGCAGTTCTGTGTGTGTGATTTGAGAGGTGGAGCCCTTTATGTTCGTTGAGTCTCGGGTCTCACGCTAAGAGTGGGGTGCTGAAGAGCAGTTCCAGGGTCTGGGAGTTTGGCCAGTCATGCGGCTTGATGACTGAGAGCACAGCCCCTGATGTCAAGCAACCTTGAGGTTGTATCCCAACTACCAACCTTAGGTGTTTGTGTTAGTTCTCCAGTTCTTCATCTGAAAAATGGTGCTGCTAATAGAATTTTCTCACAGGGACCTTGTGAGAATTAAGTGAATGATAATTTGTGACATGGATAACACACTGCTTGACACCACACAGTAAATGCTGCATTAAAGTCAATTATTTTTATAGTATTATCAGAGAACTGTACGAGTAGATGCTATAGACCAGTGATTGTCAACTGGGGTGCTGCAAGAATTTTTAAAATGTGCAAAACCTGACTATTTAGTCAGGGACACGGCCCTCTTTTCCCTTTGATTGTCAAGTGAAAAATGGACAATAGCCAACACAATAGCTGTCCAGTGTGAATGCCTTATCTTGAACCATAAATATATAGGTCATATAATAGAGTTGGATCTTATTGGTCACATCACATAATAAGGTTGAATTTGATTGGCTAATGCTGGGTACCAGAAATCCTTATATTCAAATAAAGACACCTGATATTTTTTTTAAAGTCACTTTAGACAAAAAAGGATGAGTGATTATTATTTTTTGTAAATCAATCAAAATTAGGCCTATTTTTGTCAGCTCAGCAAAAAAATATATTTTTTAGTGTGTCACAGAATTTTAGTAATCAGTTTATGTGTGCCATGAGATGAAAAAGGTTGAATATCACTGCAATAGACAATGGGAGATGAAACAATTCAAGTTCTTGAAATGGGGGTTGAATCCTAGGTATTCTAAGTCTTCAGGGGATGGGGATGGTGGTGTTTAAGAGGTTAGTAGGACAAAGCTCTAAGAAGGGAGGTAAATGATAAGGGTTTCAGTGTAACTGGGAGGACCCACTCCCTTCCCCTTTGATGCTGAGACCCTGGGATAGGAGGGCACGACCACCCTGAGTCTGCAAGGACGGTGGAGGAAGGAGTCCATGGCGGAGAGGGTAGGTTTCCATAATACAGGGATGTGGAGGGACTATTTGGTGAACATGGTAAAGCTGTAGGGTTTCATTATTACAGAAGATGAGTGAGTTCTCAAGGGCACAGTTGAAGGGTTTGGGAAAGACTTTGCAAGAGTGGGGAGTTGGGGCCAAGGGAGAAGTAGAATAGAATATGTGGGGATAGAAGTTTAGAAAAGCCAGGATCTGCTTTTTTAAAAAAAATTATCACTCAAGGATATATTTGTGTATATTTATTGAATTTTAGAGAGAGAAACATCAATCAGTTGCTTCCCTTACACGCCTTGACCAGGAATCAAATCCACAACCTAGATATACCAGTAATCAAACTCACAACCTTTTAGTGTATGGGACAACACTGCCACCAACTGAGCCACCTGGCCAGAGCTTGAAGGACTCTATCAAATGGGTATTTGATAGGCTCTGAGTTTTAGGTGAGAGAAGACCTAAATCAGAATTTGGACCAGGATTACTTTGATATGTTACAAAGTCTATTAATTCTATAGGTTCATGTAATGACATAATTTACCAAATATATATTTAGTATTTACTATACACCAACACTGTGCTAAGCACTGGAGTTAGAGTTGAAAACTATAAATGCTTTGTACCTGCTTTTGTGGACTGTAGACTAGTGACAAAGATGACCATTATGCAAATGATAGGAAAGTGTGAGACTTTGCCAACATATAGCTGGAGTGGAGTGGGAGGTGCTAATCTAATGTAGTATTATTTATTTGATATTTGAACAAGCTTGATAATAAAGATACCTACATTAAATAGCAAAGAGGAGTACAGGGATGAGCAAAAGTGGGTTTACAGTTGTGAGTACACAAAAGTTTATTATTGTGCTATTATAATCATAACTTGCATGTCTTTTTCCATATGTACAACTGTAAACCTGCTTTTGCCCACCCCTGTATATTAAATTTACTAGACAGAAGCATGGAATAGAGTTTGGAAACAGTACTATAGATCCACATTCAGCAGAGGTTGTGGTTTGTAAATGACATTTTTCAATCCCATTTTGAGCTACTTGGGAAAACCTTTGAGATTTTGGTGAAATTTATGGCCCCAACTTAGAAAAATGCAGTACAGCAGCATTTTGCATGGAGTTTCATACAGACCCTGTGTCCTATTCATGAATTACAGCTTAATATCAGTAACACCTGGCCTGTTTAAAAAGCCGTTAGTGTCAGTGGCATTTGACTTTCCCGGCTTTTCCTGCCTTTGGGTAAGGACAGATCACCCTCAGCACTTCTTTTTTAGATCAAAATTTCTGCCCACTAGTTTAGAAAATAGGTCCTTTCCTGCTCAAAGGAGGCAGTCCTTTTTATTGTGTATGGCAGTCATGACTGTCTTCTGAAGTCTCAACAGATCTGAGTGTGGACAAACTAGAACTGTCATCTGAAGACTAAAGTTTCAGGATAAAAGTCACATTGGGTATCACTTAATTTCTCAGCGTTTTCAGACATAATAATTGCTAGCCTTTATATTTTGTTTAGTAAACTGCTAATGGCTGGCCGGCTGGCTGGCTGGATGGATAGATGTCATTACAATTACCTGACTCAGCAACCCAGTGAGTTGGATATGATTAAGCCTAGTAAATTAAAATAGAATAAACTCACTGTTAAAACACAGATTGTCAGATCAGATTTTATTTTACTTTATTTTTAAATTTAGACACATGCTATTTATAGGTAAGAAAACCCAAGTCTCTTTTCTTCCAAATCCAGCGCTCTTACCCTCTACTTCATTAGGGCCCACATTTCATCTCCTATTTCAGGCATCAGCAAAGTAGAGCCTATGGGCTAAATGTGGCCTACCACCTGTTTTTGTAAATAAAATTTTATTGTAATAAAGCCACTCCCAGTTTTTTATCTGTTTTCTGTGGCTGCTATCTTGCTACAGCAATAGAACTCAGTAATTGCAATAGACTGTATAGTTTGCAAAGCCTACAATATTTACTCTTTGGCCTTTGATAGAAAAAGTTTACTGATCCTTGTTCTGTTAGTTTCTTGGGATTTTGGAGGGAATTTCTATGTGGGAATTCCATATACCAGTGGAAAAATCCGAGTTAAGCATTTTCTTTAAGGTGATCAAGAGAGAAAATTTATATTCGTTCTTATGTGGTGTTTTTCTTTGGGGTTGTAAAAACAGATCCAGCATCCAAAACCCGAAGACACATGTACACCTAGAAGACACATGTACACCTTGACTAGAATCCTCTGAACACTGACTATCTTAGGACTACTTCTAGGCCATCAAGTTTCCTTTTTTCCATCTGTCAAACTTTTCTTCTCCTGTGAACATTAGAAGGAAATGATGCAGGAATGTGTGTCCTGTTTTAGGAAGGAGTGAACTTCAAAGTTGTGACTGTGGACTTCACTCAGGAAGAGGGCATTTTGAACCCTGCTCAGAAGACTCAGAACAGAGATGTGATCCTGGAGAACCACAGGGACTTGGTCTCTTGGGGTAAGGATACAGTCTCTTTTAATGAAGTGTGCGTGTTGAAATTATTTCTTGTTTTCATTGATTAAGAGTTACGGAGTTCAGAGGTAAGATTGGCTTTGGCCACACATAGGGTTTTTTTGTGTGCTTTTTATTCCCCAGTGAAGATTTAATTTTAATTTGTAGGGTAGAAAAGGTACAACTTCTTGGGTTTGAGCTTGTTTAATCTTCGTGGTTTCCAAAGGCCAAAGACTGGGACCAAATTCTGCAGTAATTTTCTTTTGTCTCCAGACAAGAAACTCAAAATCCTATATCTTAACCTATCAGCTTTTCAAACCAGATACAATTTTCTAGTTGGAGCAAGGGGATGAGTATAAAAAGAATTTCCTAACACACATATTCGGTGAGAAACAGGCACACAGGAGTCATAAGTATAGAAAGTTTGATTGGAACATTCCCAAAGGGCATGCCATGTTTTTCTTCATTTTCCACCTCCTAGTGGACTGTACACATCACCACTGTTCTAGGTGCTCCCTAATGCTTGATTGAGCACACAGGCTTCTGTTTACGAGCTAACCTCCATTCTCTATCATTTGGAATGACAGGAATCTAGGGGGCCATATTAGCCCCTAAAGCATTTAGGGGGCTCTGAGAAAACAGTGTCCCCATTCTTTTTCCTGGTTCACAGTTGTGGTTTGCTAATGCCTTACTGATATGTAGGCTGTGCTAGCAAGTTTCATGTCTTCAGAAATTCCTAGAAATGTGGACACTAATTTCTATTTCAGTGAACATGTGTTTAGCACTAAAGAGGATGGAAAGGGCCCTTTATTACTTTGCTAAGAATTGCAAAATTGTTTTGAGGATCTTTTAGTCTGTATAGGTGATCTTAATTTGGAATATTGAAATTTAGATTTGGTATCTAAAGTCTTACATATTCAATAAAATTAAGATTAAATTGTTCCATTTTAATGCTATGTTATACTATTGGGCTTTGGTAGTTTTCTTCTTGCTGCTTTATCGTACCCTTTTGCTTCTGCATACAAGTTACAATAGCAGAAAACAAATCCACTCGTATCAGTATTTTGCATCTTTTCTTGTTAGCTATATTCCACTATTCCAGCTCTAACATTTTTTGGCTAGGATGTTTTATTTTGCTTTCTTCCAGACTCAGCAACTGCACTTGAAATAAGAAAGTCAACATCAAAGCAGAGAATTTTTGATGATGAACCATCCCATGGAGTGAAGTTAGAAAGGTTGGCAAGAAATGATCCTTGGTTATCTTCATGTGAAGAAGTTTTGATTTGCAAGGACCAGTTGGAGAAGCAACAGGAAAAACAAGAAAGACTTTTGAAGAAAGTAACATTCACTCAAAAGAATGCTATTACTCATGAGACAGTCTGCAAAAATGATGAACCTGAGGAAAAGAGTAATCCGAATTCCAGCTTTCTTTTACCCGAGATGATACCTATAAGAAACCATTTTCACGAACGTGCCTCACATGTTAAAAAATTACATCCTTCAGTTATGAATAGTCATCAGATGATTAATGACGATGAGAAACTATGTGAAAATAATGAATGTGGAAAAAAACCCCAAAGCATTCACCTTTTTCAGTTTACAAGAACTCAAACAGAAGATAAATCCTATGGATTTAGCAACAATATTCAATCTTTTAGCCATGGTATGCCTATAAATATACATGAGGAAATACATGCAAGAGGAAAATCCTTTGATTTTAAGGAATGTGGCCAAGTTTTGAACCATAGCATATCCCCTAATGAACAACAGAGAATTCCTGTTGAAGAGAGACAATATACATGTAGTAAAATCTCCCAGAATTCACCGCTTGCTTCAAACATTAGAAATTCTGAAGAGAAACCCTTTGAATGTAAGCAATGCGGGAAATCCTTCAGCTGGAGCTCTCATCTTGTCGCACATCAGAGAACTCATACAGGGGAGAAACCTTACAAATGTAACGAATGTGGGAAATCCTTCAGCCGGAGCTCTCACCTTGTTTCCCATCAGAGAACTCATACTGGAGAGAAACCTTATAGGTGTAATCAGTGTGGGAAATCCTTTAGCCAGAGCTATGTCCTTGTTGTGCATCAGAGAACTCATACTGGAGAGAAGCCTTACGAATGCAATCAGTGTGGAAAGTCATTCAGGCAGAGCTACAAACTTATTGCACATCAAAGAACTCATACCGGAGAGAAGCCCTATGAATGTAATCAGTGTGGAAAATCATTTATCCAGAGCTGTAAACTTATTGCACATCAAAGAATTCATACTGGAGAAAAACCGTATGAATGCAATCAATGTGGAAAGTCCTTTAGTCAGAGTTACAAACTTGTTGCCCATCAGAGAACTCACACAGGAGAAAAACCCTTTAAATGTAATCAATGCGGAAAATCCTTTAGTTGGAGCTCTCATCTTGTTGCACATCAAAGAACTCATACTGGAGAAAAACCCTATGAATGTAACGAGTGTGGGAAATCTTTCAACCGCAGTTCTCACCTTGTTATGCATCAGAGAACTCATACAGGAGAAAAACCCTATGAATGTAATCAGTGTGGGAAGTCTTTCAGCCAGAGTTATGTTCTTGTTGTACATCAGAGAACTCATACTGGAGAAAAGCCCTATGAATGCAATCAGTGTGGGAAATCTTTCAGGCAGAGTTCATGTCTTACTCAACATCAGAGAACTCATACTGGAGAGAAACCTTTTGAATGTAATCAGTGTGGGAAAACATTCAGCCTGAGTGCTCGACTCATTGTACATCAAAGAACACATACTGGAGAGAAACCCTTTACATGTAGTCAGTGTGGGAAAGCTTTTATTTACAGCTCTAAACTTATTAGGCATCAGGCAACTCATACGGAAGGGAAACCCTATGAATGCAACTAGTTTGGAAAATTTTTAGCCAGAGTATATTCCTTCCTCCTCCCCTTCCAAGGAAGTGTATGTATTGGAAAGAACTCATATAAAAATAATGTAAGTGGAAAAGCTTTCAGTTAGCTCTCTGTTGTTGTGTATCTGGAAATTTCCTCTGGAGAGGAAAGGGGGAGACTATGGATCACACATTTTATTTAGTAATTCCATGTGCAAAATCAAACTTAGTCTTAATGACACATTCCAAACAAAGATAATAAGTGTTGGCACTTTTCCTTGCAGAAAGCACTTAGAATTAATATAAATGGACAATATGCTGTGGAGTGATTGGCAGTGAGGTAAACCTCTTTTCCAATAAAGAGTAATGAGAATGCTAACACTGCTGGTGGTGTTGAGAAGTTTGCAAATTGCTGAGTTATTAGAAATTAGGCTGGAAAACGGTACTTCAATGTATCACATTACAACATGATTTCCCCATTACTTTGTATTCTCTTTCATACAGAACTTTCTCTTTCATGTGAAGATAGTTTTAAAATTAGGGAAATAGGTATGATACAAATTGAAAAATGCAGGACAAGAGTGTAGAACATTCATTTCTAGAATGATTATAATAAGATATTTGTGTATGGGTCAGAATTAAAGGGATTCTAGGTGTGTCTTTGATTTTTAGGCTTATGCCTGGTCTTTTTTGGAGGGGCGGGGGGCAGGAATGTATACTGTTTTGATACAATAAATGATATGATGAGTTAACATTAATCACAAGCAAAAAAAAAAAAAAAAGATTTTTATCTGCTTTGACCATTCAGGAAAGACTGTACAGCCAGATAACAAAGATTCCTCAGGGTTCTGAAATTTCCATTTGGATTAGTGTGACCAAATCACTTTGGTAGAACTTAGATTGCCCAGGAATATTCCCCATTGAAAATAAAATATTTCCATGGGAAAGTGGAACTGGAAATTCAGGCCAGAAAGGGTTTCATAGGAGGGACTGATAATCACTGGTAGTGTAAGGGCAAGTGGATTTTTTTTTTTCATATATTGAAACTGGTGTAAAGGAGTTCTATTTTTAAAGTGTTTTTTCCCCTCCCCTCATGTAGATTGTCTTTTTTTCTCTGAAATATATTCTGTAATGTGAGAATCCGCTAAGTGGGAAGGTACTTCCCCGGTTAAGTGCTCATTATTTAAATTAAGCTTGCAGGAAAGCTTTTAGTAAGCTAAGATGTGTATCTTCTCATTTTTAAGATTTGGTTCCCATGTTTTTCTAGCTTTTCCTCCTAAATCATGAATTCTAATCCTTTGGATTATGGATCTGGGATCTCTGCTCTCAGAGAATTAATATAAAAAAATAGAGTTGAACAGAGAGACCTGAGAAAGCCTTCCCCCCCCCGCCCCACACACACACAAATCATTATAGGTAAAATTGATGCCAGTGCTAGGTACAAGTGGATTATTGTCACTGGGCATGTTGAATATTTGAAGGCAAAGAGCCATGATTTCACAAATATGTATAAAGCAAGATAGCTAAGAAGGAGGGCTCTAAAGATTTCAAGTTTGGGGAGTGATTTATTGCGAAGTAATCTCTTGAGTAAATGTTAAAAACATTTCATTGAAAATGTGAAGTTGATAAAATGGAAAAATTTTTAAGTGAGTGTGTGTGTGATTTTCCTAGCCAGGTTGAATATGAGAGTCATCTGTGTGTGTTATATCAGTTCCTGGGTGGTAATTTATGGTTGCCAAGTGTTTTGAAGAGGACAGATTCAATAAATAAACAAAAATGTTAATTTCTATCATTTTTTCAATAATTTCCCTTTGTTGGAAGGGTAGTCTTTTAATTACAAAAAAGGTCAACCAAAAATGAAAAGAAGTTAAAGTGAAAACATGCCAAAAATAAGTAATTAAACTTTTGAACCTAAAATTCAAGGTTAAAAAAGGGAATCAGTAACTTGACATTAATGACATATATGACATACACACACATACATATAATATCTCCCTTGCACTGTGTGTGTAAAACTCACAAAAATGTAATAGTACATTGCCATAGAAAAATAGAGATTTTATAGGTGAAATTTCTCTCAACACATTCCAGTAAAATTAGAAATAAATGAAAGGTGATGGAAATGTTTACCTAGATGGTAAGTAGCACTGTCGTAGAAGCATTTGTGTTTAACATTTTTTCCAGTTTTATTGAGATATAATTGACAAGCATAAGTTTAAGGTGCACAACATAATGATACACATGTGATGTGAAATGAGTACCACAATTAATATTTATTACTTCGTATAGATACAAAAAAAGGACAAAATGGTTTTTTCCTTCTGATTGGAACTCTTATGATATACTCTCTTAGCAGCTTGCAGGTATACCACACAGCAGTGCTTCTTACGTGCCTTTTGTGTTTTTTAATTTTCTTCTGGATTTTGTACTCAATATTATGTATTCTATATGTTTTCTTTAGTATACGTGATAAAACCAGTTAATCTTACCTTAGCCTTTAGAACCTCATCTTTTAAAAATCAGTATTTTTTCAGTTCAAAGAGGTTGCACATGGACTCAGTGTCCCTTTAGAAGATTATGTGATCCACATCAGTAAATAGTGCTTGGCTCTTCATAAATTATAATAGCCTGGGTTGTTAGTTGGAAAGCACCTGAGCCAACTCTAACAAGTTGTTTCAGAAAAGGGAGTTCATTGAAAGGATATTAGGTGGCTCCAGTTATTGGCAAGAAAGAGTATGTTTGGGGCTTTGTAAACAAAATCAATTGGCGAATTATGCTGCAGAGCCTATGAGAGTTCCTTAATGTTCTCAAGTTCCTTAATATACATTAATTTTCTTAATGTATCTCTGCATTGATTACTTATGGTCCCAAGTCTGGGGCAGGTGCCTAGGTCTGGTGGAGGCTATGTGGAAGGCTGGGAAGCCAGGGACACTAGTGCCTGGTATTTCCTGGAGAGTCCATAGTGGTAGGTGAACTCTACCTTCTACTCTAATTGTGTGGGCAATTTGTCACTCTCAGAATTGTTACTAATTTACTAAGCAGCAGCAAAGAAAAAAAGGTTTCTAGCCATTATGTCAACATTTTCTTCACTTTCTATACTTAGACTGTACATGTAGCCTCCTACTTAACATAATCTCTCTCTCTCTCTCTCTCTCTCTCTCTCTTTCTTTCTCTCTTACAACCAAAAACATATGTACCCCCCCTCCTGTCATTGCATCCAGTTCCAAGTCAGCTCTCTGGGTGGTGTCCATTCCTTTTCTACAGTTCAAATGCTGAGCATTAAGAAAAGATTAGCCCTGGCTGCTGTGGCTCAGTGGATGAGTGCCAGCCTGTGAACCAAAGGGTCGCTGGTTCAATTCCCGGTCGGGGCATATGCCTGGGTTGTGGGCCAGGTCCCCAGTGGGGGCATGTGGGAGGCAACCACACACTGATGTTTCCCTCTCTTATTCCCTTCCCCTCTTTCTAAAAATAACTAAAATCTTTTTAAAAGGAAGAAAGAAAAGATGATAAAACCAGGTCAAATTTTACTAAGCTAATTTCAGTAACCTTGCTTTTTGCCACTAGGTATTCAGAAGCTTTCTAAGGTCGCTTTTGGAAAACCACTACATTGGTGACATACATAGTTTTTACTCGTTAGGATAATTTAATCCATATTTGGATTCACTTAGGGTCTAACTAAATCAATGATTTTCATTACTTTGCAGTAAAAATAGTATTGTTACTTTTAAAAATGTCACTTGACATTTGACAAGTGGATCTTCATGTTGAAACAGTAATGTTGGATTTTCGAAATATCTGTGGCCGATATGGTATTGATTTGTAATCCACTGAGGATGGTATTTCAGTGGACGTAGGCTGATAAACCTTTCTATGGTCCTCACATCACCTGTCTGGACTCTTCAACTTATGTTCTACTCAGTGTTCATTCTGAGGACATCACAATCTTCATGATCATTGCCTCTCCTTTAGGGAGGATACCTGGAATTTTGCTGTTGGGTGAAGTTCTTGAGACATGGATAGTCTTAGATATTGTACCTCTCTCTTGTCCAGGTTCTAGTTCATTCTCTGGCACTGTTTGCGTAAGTCTTGGATTATTGATATCTATGCCTTTGATTGACTGCACAACAGATCCAACAAGTTGGTGATTCTTTTCACCAAAAGCCCATCCTTTTGTTCCGTATTTGGTTTGTGTACATTTTTTCTCCACCATTATTTGCTTTCTGAAAGGATAAGAACGATGCTAATCCTGCAGGCTGGAAGTTTCTGTGGGTGTAAGTTCCTGATTTTTTTTTTTTTTTTTTTTTTTTTTTTTGTGCATTAGAAAAATATCAAGGCCATTCCATTAACCCTGGTTGGTAATTTTTTAAAACATACAAATCTGTAGAATGCAATCATAAATGGAATATGCTGAATTTTTAGAGCGGTGATTAAGTTATAAAAGGACAAAACAAAAGCCAGAGGGGATTTTTCTGATGAAATCTCAAACCATTTATTTGTATTCTCTAATATTACTAATCTCTACTAATTGTATGGGGTTGCCATTGGTGGTACTGGTATACTCCCTACTTTAGTTTTTTTTTTTACTAAATAATTGCACTGGGGTAGAGACAGTTGGAAGCTCTTCATAATCTGGTGCTTTAAGTAGATATTGCTGAGTGTTGGTCATCTAGACCTGTATACAATACAGCCAATTCCAAGACGTGTCCCCAAGAAACTGGACAGCCAGTCACCACAGGCTACACCCATCCTTGAGTACTGCAGCCTCTGTCTGTGGGTGAGTGTCCAATTATGGCTCCTATATTCAAATGAGAAGATGGGATGGCTGCTGTGTTTGGGGTATTGTTCTGTTATTGCTGGATAAAGCTCAGTTGTATTTCTTTTATAAAAGGAAGCTAAAGTTTCTAGCTTTAAAGGAAACAGTAGAAGTGTGGGGTTTTTATATTTATGAAATATTCAACTTGGTTAGAAAATACTGAATGAGAAAAAATGTTTAAATAAAAGGTTAAAAAAGTGAGTTAAATTGGAAACAGCATCATTATTTGGTACCCTTAAAGGCTGAGCAGCCTTTGGGTTGCACACCATTCTGTGGATCCATCAATTAAGCAACATCAACATGGAACCAGGGCTGTTTGGTGAGTAGCTTACCTTAAGGCAGAAC